CTGGAGGGGAGCGGGGGCCTCTCTGGCAGTCCTCCTGGTCTCTGTCCCACCACACTTGGCCTATGTGAGCTCATCCATCCTGAGGCTTCAATTTCCACCTCCCAGAACGACTGCCAAATTCTTGCCCGCAAGCCAGAGCTCTACTCTCAGCTCCAGACCCATGTACCAAATGCCTCGTCAACATTTCCCAGTGGGTTGGGTAGGATAGGATTACATTCTGCTGTGAGTACCAGACGCTATAAAATACAGTGTCCTAAACAAAAGGGCTTCTTTCTCTCACATTTAAAATTCTGGAAATAAAATACCCAACTTGGGGCTGGCATGGAGATCCTGCTCCAGGGCATGGTGTCTTTGCAGGCCACTGCTCTGCCATCATTCAGGTGCGTGCTTTGACCTCCCAGCCTGAAGTGGAGGTTGAAACTCCAGTCATCACATTGACATCCAAGCTGTGGGAGGAAGCAGCGTGGGATGAAGAGCTAAGGACTCCCACCAGCTGTTTCATGAAAGAAGATGGAAGATGCGAAGAATCTTATGCTTCTGTCTCCTTAATCAGACTGGTCATGAGGCAGTCAGCAGCAAGGTGGGCTGGGAGTGCGTTGTTTACAAGAAGTGATCACATGGATGATATAATGGGAGGATTCTGTCATCAAAAAAATGAAATCTAAATTAGGTGTGGTGGTGCACACCTGTAATCTAGCACTCAGGAAACTGAGGCAGGAGGATCATGAGTCCAAGGCCAGCAGGGACTACACAGCAACTTCAAGTCTAGTTTGGATAACACAACGTGCAAGATCCTATTTCACAAAAAAACAAGCAAAATGACAACAAAAAAATAAACCACAGGAAAATGAAAGAAGTGGAGATATAACTCAATGTAGAATCTTGCTTGCCTTGATGCCCAAGGATCTAGATTTAATCCCTAGCATTGAAAGGAGGACAAAAAAGAGGAGAAAGGAGAGAGGAAGAGAAGGAGGAGGAGGAAAGAGAGAAGAAAGAAAGTGAGAGACAAAGAGAGAAAGAAAGAAAGAAAGAAAGAAAGAAAGAAAGAAAGAAAGAAAGAAAGAAAGAAAGAAAAGAAGA